TGTTTTTCTCATACCCAACGAGCTAAGAATAGAGTCTCTTAGATAGATTAGCAAGGACTCCATAGCGTCAGCGAAGGCTACTTGTACGTTTTTTCCGACTTTTTGCTTCTGATCGTGCGTACAACCCACTTCACGCAAGCTGTATAGGGGGGGCAATTCGTGTTGTACTGGTGACGACGGGCATACTTTGAGTGGGTTTTGGGTGCTCTCTTGATGTTCTTCAACAGTAGTACGTGTTTCGTGTGATCATGGCTTCGGGGTCCACAAGAGAGGATCCTAACTCTCGCACACAGGGTACCCCAAAGAAAATAGGTTCCCCACTGCCGGCCCCCTTTGCTATACATCTATACACAGGAATTACCGAACCTCCCCCCCCCCAAAAAAAAATCCTCCCAAATAAAAAAATGGGTACGTAGGTGTTGGAAAACGTTTTTTTCGTGCCCCCGTGTTGTGCTCTACCAGCAGAAATGGGATGACAAGACGTACACACAAAACATGAACCCGTCGTACTTTTGCGCACCCATTCAAAGCGGATCCAATATCCAGCAGGAGTGTGATTCAATCCTTACTGCTGCATTGCTACTGTAGCACACACACACATCTGGGAATATCCCGAAGTGATGCCCGTTTTCCAAGCAAGAAAGACAGCGGAAGAAGAAGTGGTCACCGCCAGCAGTTTTTACCGAACGCTCCCACACCGATATCCACCCCCGGTTGTGAGAGCACATCCCCAACGCATGGCATATCATCTCCGTCCCAGACTTGTATTCACTCGCCGCCCTTGTGGCCATGCCGGGAAGCTGACTATCTGGCGTTTACTCTACTACGGGCAAGAGCTCCCGCCTTATTCACTCGAGTTTTGGGGGGTGGGATTCGTCGGGCAGTTTGTTTCTGGGTGGAATTCGTCAGGCAATACCGGCGGGCCTTCCTATGAAACTGCTTCTTCCCCTGCAGTACGACGATTTCCTGGGGAAGGTTCGAGTTGAGACGAAAGATCCAGGGATCAAACAAACCCGTGTGTGATTAAACATGCACCAGTGGCTCTCTCTCTCTCTCTCCTGGCCCGAGGAATAAACTCGCTAGTGAATATTGTTTTACTCCGCCACGACCCCCGTCGTTGAGGCCTTCGTCTGCATACAGCAGGATTATTGCACTTTCCTCGTGTTGGACGACTACCAGTGCTCTTGTGGTTAGAACCATCACGGCTTCATACCATCTGGAGATCATGCTGCTTTTGCAGGGACCCTCGGTGTGGAATTTTCGGAATAGCTCCGGCTCAATTTCTGGAGTGAGAGCCATTTCCTCGGTACCGCTGCTCACGAACCGTGTGCTATGCGTGCGGGGCCCTGGGTGTTTTGCGTTGGTGGCAACCTGCAATGATATCATCGCGGTTCACGAGTATCTCACGAACCCTCCGAGAGCATAAGAGCCAGACGACCCGGGGACTCTGTTGTTGCCACACAATGTCTCCTAGAGACGATGTGTTGGCATCAATCCGTCATAAAAGACAACGCACAAGACTCTCAGACTCCCCTCACAAAGTTTTCAAGGTTAGAAGTGTTGTTGTTTTTTCGCCCAGTCATGTTCTGTCTTGCCCCTCGGCGCTGCCGCGTGCGGCAGAGCGGAAAGAGGTTGCGTCGGAGCTGGAACACAACCGCCCGCAAACACTGGACTACCCCTTCACCAACCAGCTAGAGGCCTGGAAGGAAAACGCACGCGTACGATCCTCCGCCCGGCAGGGGAACAAGAATGATACGGTGAGATTTGTGTGTGCCGTTTTTTTTTATGGCGTACTTGCTGGCTTGATTTCATGTGCATTGTCTTCGCAACTGCTATAATGTGTTGCTCCCAAGGGCGCTTCTGCTGGGACGCGCCGTGTAGCACCGTCGCAAGCTCTTGTAAAGAGGGGTTCGTGCTTCATGGGGGGGGGTCACAAAAAGGCGAGCGACTTATCAACTGTACTGGGGCACCAGACCAGATCTCTCTGTCTCTCTCTCTGTCTCTCTCTCACACACACAATATGATGTTTTCAAACGCCATGGACTACTGATCGACCTATTTCCACCACGGCTACTAGATCTAGCAGAAGATCTGGTGAAAACGATACCGATGGTATCGGGGCAACTCTTTTGGGAGTGACGGAGATGAAAGAAAAGGGAAAGGGAAGAAAGGAGGATTTAGGCGATGATGGAGGAGGAGGAAAACATGGCGTGGGAGAGAGCAAATATTTTGAGCCCGATGACCTTCCTTACAACACACGCCGCAGGGCTAGAGAGGACCTGTCAAGACTCAGTGGGAATGTTGACGACGAGCGTGGTGGTAGCAAATGTAGGGACGACGCTGAAGAAAGAAATCCGAAACGAACGCGCGTCCAGAGCGGTCATGGTAAACACGTACAGTTTTCTTCGTTATTGTTAACGGTATCTGACTTTAATCCGGAGACAGCGTAGACCTCCTCATGATGCGCTCCCTCCCATGGTTCCAGATCGTGGCCTTTTGAAGCATTTGTGTTTTTGGCCTCACTGAGATTGACCTATTTTCATTGATCAGCCGGTTAGCGCGGTCGGTGCTATTCAAGAAAACACACACACACACACACTCCTCTATCTTGTGGTTACCGTACTTTGAAGAGATCGTACTGGCGTCTACCCGAAGGTCCTGCCGGTACATGACATTTTGAAGGCGAAAATCGAGGCACGCGCGTTTCTCCCGTCACTTTCCGTACGCCCCGCTAGATGCCTCTCAGCCGAGGCCGTCCCTAGCAAAATACCTCTGACAACACCCTTTCCCCGCCGCCGCTGTGGCCACCCGGGGACGGCCCAAAGGCAAACAACAAATCGGCAGTTCGCCTCAAGAGCCTCCTCCAGGGAGAGGCCCTGAGCTACGGGGGCGTCAGCGACAACGGCGACACCGACGCCGAGGGCACCCGCAACGGCAGTCACACCCAGGAACAGCCGCCGCAGCCGGAGGTGTGGAAGGGCAGGGCGTGGAACTCGGGCACCCTCCTGGTCCGCCCCGGTGGCGAAGACAGGCCGTCGGGACGGGTGCCGCGGACGACGTACATCTACCTCGTGGGGACCGCGGCGAGGGTGCGCGGGCTCGAGGTTGAGGTGCTCGTCGGTGAGCCCGGAGGCGGCGGCGGCGGGCGGCGCACGATCCTGTCGAGGGCCACCGGAGTGATGTGCGCCTGCGTGCCCGAGCGGGAGAAATGTACACCGTGAGGAACCTGTCGGTTGACGGCAAGACGGCGGTGCTCTACTGGACGGCGCCCAATGGGAACCTCGACGTTTGGGTGGGTGACGAACCGTGAATAACATGTAGCTCGCTGTTTTCCGGTGCGCAGCGCTCTCTCTCTCTCTTGCGCAGGAGACACACAGCGAGAAAATGTCGCCAGGAGCAGCACAGGGGCGGTTCAAAAGCCACCAGTGCTCTCTTGCGATCCCGTCCTCCAGTACTTTCACGCACAGTCACATGTATGATGAGTGTGTGATGTGTTCGGTACGGTTCCATTTTTTGTGTACGGTTCCATTTTTTGTGATTCCCTTCCCCGCCCGCCCCTTGCCACACCAAACGGTTTCTGTTCGCTTCCGCGCGGTTCGACGTGTGTACATTGTTGCAAAACCACACGAAAACGGCCCCCGACAACGAAACGGTGGCCACACGGGCGGTGGTGCAACAACTTCCGCAACAACCGCAGTACGCGCAGCCTAAGCAGGCTGTGTTGACGGACGGGAGCGAAGAGGTGAAGCAGGAGATGCTGCATGCCCTACGCCGTCCACCCGCCAAGGCAATCAAGAGTCGTGTGACAGCATCAGCCCCGGCGAAGAACCCACCCATGGTCGACAGAGCGTACGGCAGGGAATAACCTCATATTAGTAATAGTGAAGTGAAGGACGCCGGGAAGAGAGGGGAGGAGGGAGGAACGGATGGTTGTGGTTGCTTTGTGTTTGACATTCAGAATCGTTCCAAATCTCCATCCAGCGTCTCCATCCAGAATATATTCTTCCTCGCTTTTTATACGCAGACGGAATTCCGCTGGCACAAGTCCACTCGACTGAAGGCGCAACAAAAGGTTGGAGTTCCTAGATATATTTTCCCCTCTTCGTTCTAATTTTTGATAGATGTGTTGAGTTTTTTGTTTCAAGAGCGTACCTGCGATGTACGAAACGAAGTTCGGTATGATATTTTTTGCTGGTCATAGACGGCATGTGCTCACGTCAATATGGACCCAAAATGACGATGCGGGCGTCTGAGTCCCTTGCCTCAAGGAGGGTTCTAGTAGGTACCGGAATGACGCGAGGCAAGCCTTTGGGGCTGGGGGTTGGTGCGTGGCGTTTTGCCGCACGTTTTTTTAGGTTTCGGGTGGGCATCGATTTCGCGGGTGTACTATCGTGTCTGAAGTCGTGCTTGCGTCCTCTGGTTCGCTACTGTGCCGTAGGAGCGACAAGCGATGAAGGCTTTACGCCACGGAATGGAAACGATAAAGACTTTAAGCCACGGAATGGAAACCGAACATCGCTTGTTTGACATACTTCTTCAGAGTTCCCTACGTCTACATGTTGCGGACCCAATTGAGGTGATTGTGCTAAGAGCGCAGAAAGCCGCCATGGCACCGACGGCTTCCGCTATCTTTGTCTCGTGAATGAGGTTGGGTTGGAACAACGGGAGTCTCTCCACTGCTGCTATTTCCTCCGGCCAATTCTTGATTTGAACGTGTCGGCGGAGCAGCTGCTGAAATTGTTAATGTGCTTGTTACAGGCTGTTGTTGTTGTCGATGTTGTTGTACTATTGTTAACGTTGTTGATGGTTGCTGTTGTCAAGTTGTTGTTGTTGCTGTTGCTGTTATTCTCTAGTCGTGACACAAGTATTTTAAGTTGCATGTACTGTATATGCAATTGCGGTTGCTGTTGTTGTGGTGTACAAGTGCCTTAAGGCGTGTACATATGAGGCTAAGAGTGCGAGAGGGTGCGATAGGACCATGAGCCTACGAACTTGTTGTTTCGACGCAACTCGTTGCCTTTGAGAGCGGCTTCGGTCAGCCCTAGGGTCACAGACGCGCGGTCGGGCCGCTGATGACGAGTGTTCAGTTTTGGCATGGGACGCAAGGGCTGCACAACCCGCTGCGTAGAGGGGCAGTCGTGGTTGAATGCTGGCGGCGGCAGGGTTGGCCCCATGTGCCGCTATCGGAAACGTGTTTGCTTCCCCGGTCGAAAATGCGTTCGCCGAACAGCAAGAATGGTTCCGTGCTGCCCGGTGCCTGTGCAGGTTTGAATGTTTCGCGTGGGTAGAAAACTATTTGGGGGTCTTGCGGTCGTGCCGACGAAATTTTTATTCACCCTGAACACTGTTCGAAGATGGGCAACTACCACCGGTCGAGAGCCACAGCTATGGACGAAAGCATTACCCGAGCTTTTCGTGGAGGTGTGCATGGAGCACGGACGGGTCAGCAGGCGGCCGGGGCGTGAGACAGTTCTATCTCTCTGTCCCCAGGCACCCGTAGGTTTCAAGGACTTCTTGGGCCTGACAAACATAGGCGACCCACGCCTTGTATGTAACGTAGCATCGGTGTGTGCTCCAGTACCGTGGCCATCGCCCAGTAGTTTTGTCGCCGCCAACAATTAGTCGTAGTGTACGGGGACAGGTAGTCACGTATTTTAGCTGGGCAGGGGGTCGGCACTATTTTTTTGTTGAACACGGGGATTGCAACACGTACTTCTGTCCGAGGGTGCCGTGATCAAATGCAGATGATGTCGTCTTTCGGAAATTGAAAATAACGAGTTTGATTGTGCGCGACACAGGAATGAGATTTGAGGTTTTGGGAAAATACTTGCTCCTACGGTGGAAGCACATCAACTGTCGAAGGAATGCCAAACACGTGCTTCGTTCGGAGATGATGAAGATCGGTGGGCAAGGACCGTCAGATGGCTTGGAACTTAACGCCGTGGTTTGAACAAAGATGGTGGCCATGATTTGCACCTTCCAAGGCTTCAATTCATGCTGAGCTCGTGAGTTGTATAGACGAGGCGGCGTTGAAGAAGATGCAACACAGCTTTAATGTATCTTGGGGGGTGCGCTGACCTGTGGTCACGTGGTATGGCACCCGACCCCACAGTTGATGCACATCTTGTTGTAGCTTTGGAGATATGTTTTGTGGTACTGTAGGATTATAGGAGAACACAACAGATTGATACTGCTCCACAATGTGTGCAGGATCCAGCGACAGAGGATCCGTCCCAGTGCAAGGAAGGGCTCTCGTGTGCGGTGATTTTTCGGCAGGGCATTGGTCGAACAGAGGATGCCCGGAACTTCAACGAGACAGGATATCGTCTGACATTATCGGTTTTGGTTCGTGTGAGGATATGCCAATAAACGGATGGAAAACCGCTACGACGAAGTGCAGCTTACGCGTGGGTCCTTCACGTTCCGTTGCAATACTTTGCCCAGACCTACGCAAGTTTGACTTCGCGCCCAGAAAAGGAATCAAAGAGGACGAAAAGCAAGATTTGATCCGGCCTGAAGAGGGCCCCCATGATTGTGTGAACAACGCGGGTGGTTCATCTCTCCATGGACGTCACCTTCGGACGAACGATTGTTCTTTACTTTTCTGCCCGACACCCAGGGATGCTACGTGCCTCCAAGTAATATCGTTGTAGTTTTCGTTGTCATATACGGCCGGCGCTCGCAGGTTCTACCTAACTGACGGCCTTACGGCGTTGCCTCTTTCGAGAGCTCCGAAGCGGGGACAATGGCAATTATTCCCTGCCGTGCATTCCTACCTTTGAGATTGTGTATCGCGAGAAGAGAGGTTTTGCTGTTTTTCCCTCAGCTCAGGTAGTATCCTCATGAGCAAGTCCTACAAGTACCGACGTTAACCCATTTCTCCGGGCTTGTCATCCCCAATCCAGCTCTAAGTTGCTCCCGGGTCACCTCCTAGACCACCGGGCCGACTGGCTCTTGTGGAGCTACATTTTCATGTCTGAGGGAAATATGTGATTATCATCACGTCCTCTGTCCTAACACGTGTGCTTGTTCTCCTGCGAACCCCGGCTCAAAAGTCAGGCGTGGTTTCCCACGTTTTCATTCTACACGTTGACAATGCGTTTTTCGAACGTGGTCTCATCCACACGCACATCCTCTCGCGTGTTCTACTGTACACACTTCGACCCCGAATACGTCATTTCTTCTTCTTTTTCCCGCCACCGCCCTTTTTCTTTTTCTTCTTGGCCGCCTTCGCAGCGACAGAGATGGCCTTGTCCTTGTCCGCCGTATCCTTCTCTGTGAGCACCCTCAGCTCCTAATTGGCATATGAACGCACGCACTTTGTTGTCAGATAGTTACCGATCCTTCAGTGGGAAATTGTAGCCGTTGGGCAGGGGAGTTACGACAACGAGGCAGAATACTGGCTTGAGAACAACATGCGAGAAAATGTAGGTACCTTTTGGAACTCCTGAAGCTTCTTGCTGCCACGCTCCACCAGCGCGGGGTTAAGGCCCTGCGTTGACAGGAGAAGGAAAATGGCACATCTGCCTTTTGAAGAGACAAATATTGTCTAAACCTGAACAAAGATGAGCTTGTTGAGGCAAACAACGCTTGACAGCGTCTTCAATCTCCACAAACACCGCCCTCCCGCCCGATGCCGCGTTTGGCAGTATTTCGACTTCAAAACCCTATAACGACGGAAGCACACTGATCAACCATGTCAACCGCCACTGCATGACCGGTGCAGGATACCAAGGTGGGCTTCTGGCACAGGCACATGTGAATCAAACCAGGCGCCACGGTGAACGCAAACTACATGTATTCGATTGTTAAAATGTTCTTCTACTCAAGGGGCCCGGCGTCCATGGGTTCTTGTCTACCTGAAGGGTTGTGATAATCACTGCTGTTCGGCTGTTGTCTCTCTTGAGCGCGAATGCATTTCGATCACTCCTTATCCCACCTCCCCTCCGACCAGAGCTTCCGACATCCTCTTGCAAGCGGCTGAGAGAGCCCTGAGCGACTTAGACGGCACCCAGACGTAGTCCATGTTTTTCCCGTCGGCGTCCACCGGGGGCAACGGGAAGCCCTCGTTTTCCTCGATGTGGCCGATGTCTTCGGGTTGCCAATAATCTTTCGGCATCGGCTGGGTTTGGGGCCGCAACGAGCGGTACAGGCGTGTGTTACTGTCAAATATGCGGGTATGTGCATCTCCCTGTGTGTTTCTACGCACAATTCCAGCCTCGTGGGTGTCAGGCGCGCGTAAACACGCTACAGCAAAACACTCCAACTCACATCAATGGGGAGCCGCACTGTGGGGAAGCCCAAGATGGCCTTGCTAATCTCCACCTCAGTCGTGAGGCGCTTCAAGAGTGAGCGGCAGTCCTGCACCAGCTGTGGATGTGCCTCGACCTTGGCTGCCTGCCATTCGCCGAACAATTAGGCAACGGAAGCAACAACACCTTTAGGTTCTAGCAGATCGGTAATCCGCACGATGGGGAGGAAGCGTACAATAACGACTGTTGTGGAAGGTGAAAATGTCTAGACTCTGATTGACGGCGGCGAGCAGATGGGGGGATGTGCGTTCGGAGCATACGTTAACGTGTTTTTGTGCTGTATATGTGCTGCCCGTCTTTGGGTTGCGGGGATGGATAGGAACTTGCGGGGTAGGATAGAGACGACCAGCCCCTTCTTCCTCCGTACATTATCAACGCGAGTCGTACCCAAAAACGCGACGTACGGCGGCCGCTGGCCTTGGGTTTCGTCCTTATAGCACTCGGTAGCAGAGAAAGAGCTTGTGGGTGATTTTTTCTCTGCGATCCCCTTGTACTGTTGCAGATCCATCCCAGACGCCTTCTGTGATCACACACGTTAGCCTCATCAAAGAAAAACCAAAGTGCGCCGACCTTTGGGCTTGCGGGAAACACGAAAAGATGTCCCAAAACCATGTTTGAAGTACACGAAATCTTTACTTGGACGTATCTGTCCCGTCGTGCTGTATGGTGTCTTGCTGACGTTATGCTTCCCTCATTTTCCCCGTCGTATGGAAAATTCGCCGAGCAAAGCACATTAACGAGCCGAACCCCGAGTCTGCCATACCTTCTCGATGCGCGCCTCGAGCTTGGCCATATCTGCCATGTGCCGAGCCTCGGCACATTCGACCTTGAGCAGGCGCTGCGCCGACACCTGGAGCCAGTACTCGCCGTGGCTTTTGTCCACCAGAGCCTGCTTGTTTTATGAAATAAACACACGCAACGAGGGCGTCGGTGTAGACTCGATTTATCCACGGTCATGTCCGTTTCTTTGGGCCACTGCCGGCGGTTCTCCTTCTAACAGCATTCGTCAAAAATCACTCCCCCAAACCAGGAAGCGGTAACTTGGCTGCTGAGCTCACGAAGTGATCGGCTTGTATTACAACATCGCTGCCAAGCGACGAAAACCCAACCCCGGTGGCAAACACCGGGGGCGGCGGCTTGTATTACAACGTCGTTGCCAAGCGACGATAACCCAACCCCGATGGCAAACATCGTCCCCCACCTCCGGGCGATGTTTGCCACCGGTGTTGGGTTATCGTCGCTTGGCAGCGATGTTGTAATACAAGCCGATCACTTCGTGAGCTCAGCAACCAGGTTACCGCTATTTATTTTGACGTTTTTTTTTTTTTGCGGTAACCATGGTCGTCGAGTAGAATATATTGTGCGGGGTCGTGAACCCTCATTCCACGCAAAGGGGATAATCGCACGTTGTCTTAAAATGGTCAAGCATCCTCGAGGCAGTTACACAGTGCATATAACTGTCTCTGGAAGTGAAAACATCAGAAAATAAGTTAAGTCACACACAGCTGTCATCCGTACGCAAGGAAGTAAGCAGCAGGTGCCGAACACTTTAGCAGGATGCAGCGCACCCTTCATGCGACTCGCCGAATACCTCACGGCGCTTCGCGCTTGGTGATGTGAGAGCCTGGTCCGGTGAGAACCTGGCATGCTCCGCCCCGACTTTGTAGGGATACGCGGTCAATGGTCTAACGACTACGGCATGCACGACTATGAGTACCCCCCCCCCCCCCCCCAAACCTGGAACAACACATAAGGCGGATGCATCTTTTCTTTGTCCATAATTCCACTGACCGATCCCCTGTGGGGAGGCTGGTCATACGGGACTGAGTTGTGTTTGTTCTCGACTTACGATTTTCATCGGTCAGCCGAATAGTGCGATAGGTGCTAGACATTGTCTTTCCATCGCGTTCGAACCCTCCACAGAACCGGCAGAGCCCACCATCATTGGTAGCACAACGTGGTCCCCGCATGGAAAGAAAGTTCAGGGTCCGGTTAACAGCGAAAATTGCGAGAAGACTTTCTTCGTACAATGCATTCCCCCTTTCCCCGGCCTTCTTCCTCTCCGCCCACTTTGACCCCCATCAGCGGACAGCATTGAAGTGGTGGTGTACAGTCGTTCCAAAGAATGTTGGCCTACCTTCGCCCTTTTCTTGAGCTTGCTGGAAATACGCGAGTTGCCCTCCGCTCGCCGCAGCAGTAACATTAGTCGATTCACCAGAGTCGTGTAGGCCTGCTGCGTTAGGATGGGTCCCTCCGCCGCGACTTTTGTCGCCTGCTCCGCCAGCGTTGATTTAGAACGGAGATTTTCGGAACCGTATGCATAAGGATGATTGTGTCCTTGTGATCTAAGGAAACTGCGTAAGGATCGCTGCCTGTAAGGGTCGCTGCATGTAATGCGCCGTATGTTGCTGCCCAATTGATTTCTTCGTGCACGACATGTTGAACTCATACTGGTCCTGGTGCTTGATGCTTACGTTGTGGACGGCAGCGTCGTTATTCCTACTCTTCGGTTTTTTACAATCTACGCACACCAAAGTATAGTGATTCATACCTGTATTTCTATACTGTGCTGCAGGAGGAGGCCATCTATCCTGAGCCGTGCTGCCTGCCAAGTGAGTAGATTGATAAGACCACAAATGGAAAAAATAGGAATGGAGGGAAAGTCACAGGGCGCAACAACGGAGCAAGTGCCCACGGGAGACCGTGGTTATGAGTAGGAGGAGTAGAAAGGTTAGGTGCATGTTGACGAATGAGCAGCACTCAAAGCAAAGATAATCCAGTACGTCCCTTTTCAGCCCTGACAGGATTTGTACTTGGGCCAATCCTGGTTCAATCAGACGACAAAGCTGTAGAACCGTTCCGAGACAAACGGAGATTCTTCTCCACGTCATCGACTGGTAGGTGTTGGTTTTGGGTTGAGTAGCGTGTTCTTAACGTCCGAGGGTGTAGAGAAAAGGTAGACTGACCTTGTTCTTTCCGAGTGAACAGGGCAAGCCTGCCGACGCACGCAGAAGGTGGATCGACGTTCCACTCAACACATACATACCAACATGATACACGAAAACCCCTAGATCTCCGCAGATCCGAACCTAGTGCTCAGTACACCTAACAGCCCCCCTACTCGGTACTAGATACAATATAGTTGATTCGTTTCTTCACAACGCGCAACTTGGCGGTAACAACCCCAAATCTCAAATCTAGATAATCCATCGTCCCAATTCGAAACAAATCTCATATTGTTGTCCTCCGAAATCATTGATTTCCCAATAGAACTCCAACATCCCAAATCCGTTGAATATTCAAATATCATGTCATGTTCCCTTACCCATAAAATATCAGTGAACAATCGATCCCCTCAAGACGGTACTCTTTCCGAAACTCCAACGTTTTCCATCCAAAAACGTCCCAACCAATAACCAAATAACGGCGAACAACCGCATCATCATCACATCTTCACTCTTCATTTTCCTCCGAAAATCCATGCCATACAAGGTTTACTGCGAACACCATCCAAACCACAATATTTATCCTCAGCAAAACATCTTCATGAAGTCAAAGCGCACTTCCCGTTGCTCTCTTATCTTCGACTGAGGACGTTGTGACAATAACGGGAAATCATTAACAGCGCTCACCGCGACCAGGTCTTCGCAGATACACAGAGCTTCAGCCCCAGCGACAGCTTCTCGGATTAACTCCACCTGCTTGGCGCGAGTTTGCACGTTTGACGCCAGGGAAGAAGGGTCACCGACACGATCGAATGATCAGGTGGGTGCAACACACATTTCCATACGCACACCCAGACACACTGCCGGTAGCGCCTCTGTCAACCCCAAGTTCGAGAGCTTTGCCTTTCTGTTTTCTCTAGCCATGCCTCGACCCCTAGCGTCGACCAAACACGTTCAATGGTCAAAGGGTAAGGGCTGAATCTGCCGGCAATTCCAGAATAAGGTGGAAAACGCTGTCTGAGCCAATCTCAAAGCGCGCAAGATAATGAATGATTGCGTGTTTAGTGGTCTACTAGTTTCAGCACCGAATACTACTCAACCTGTTCCCTCGCCGTGTGCAGCATGCTCTTCAATTGCTCTGTTTCCGTTCACACCTGACCAAGAAGGTCTTCGCTGAGTTCACCAACGCTCCCACGACTGCCACGGTCTGGTTCTTTCCCCTCAGTTCCGTGTGTCTCGATGCCCACGTCGCCCTGCCTCCTTTCCCCCCCGTCGCCGTTGTTCGTCCTGCCGGCCTTGTAGTCGTCCCCGCCATCACCGTCTGTCTCTTTCGCATCCATTCTTCCTTCCTCACCTGTTTTCTCTTCGGCGGCTGAGTGGCGCCCGTGGCTATCCTGGCAATTTTCGCCCCCGCCGTTCGAGGGATCGTCCTCGCCCTTCCCCCCGTCGCTGCCACCACCTTCCCCTTCTCCAGCTGCTTGACCACCGGTCGCAATTGCTCCCACCGTGCCGCCCGTCACCTCGTCACCAACCCTGGCCTCCCCCAGTTCTTCATCATCACGGTTGTCGACGTCTTTTGCCTGTTTGATGCCCTGCAGCTGCTGGAGCTTACGCTTCTGCCGTCTGTCTTCGTCGTCTGTGGGTTCCAGGGGCCCCACCACTTCGGCTAGAACCCGCTCGACCTCAAGGATTCGCTGCCATTCATTCAATGTGGGCGGGCGGTGCCGGGTAGACGCAGAACGTGTAGTTTGCCACACGCTTGCTTCGAGTTCGGGACATATAGGAAATGGTGACAGGTTCACAGTCTGTGTTCTCCAACCCTCCGATATGTGCATAATTTTTGGCAAACTATGGTTGCTGCCATAGGCTTATCTTCCCCTCGCCGAAGAAACACTGGTAGTGTTCCATGTCAAAAAACTATTCGTGTTGCGGGCTAGTATTCCACAACAAAGCGTATGGTTGAGCGTCGCACGACTCACCTGCAGGTTTTCGGTGTGCATCTTCTCTGCCTCTTCAACCGACGGCGCCGGCAACGCCTCCGCCCTCCTGAGGATGCCGCGGCATTCCGCCGAGTTGGCCACGTCATGAGGGGTGTTCTTGAATTTGTTCTGCCGGTGCACGTCCGCTCCGTCGCGGATGAGTGTGTCCAGCACACGCTAGCGTTGGAGGTCAACAGGTCCAGAGAGGGTTGTCGGAGACAAGGCGGCGGTTTGTGCTATAAAAAATACAAATTTTAAAAGGCGCGGCGGGGTTTTCAAACGGGGATGATGGGAGCTGCGTGTGTTTCTCTGAAAGGATCGCGAGCAAGGGTACAGGGATAGGCTTTGCCGAGACCTGCTAGGTCAATGGTAGGAGCAGCACGCTTCCAAGATATCAGTGAGAAAAGGATCATGCGTGCGGCCCTGGGGGCAGTACAAAATTAGAGTCTCGCGTGGAAATGTGTACTCAATTAAACAACGAATTTCAGCATGGCTTGCGGCAAGCAGGATGGCAGGATACTGTCCATGGTGCCAAGGGGGCGCGCAGAAAAAAGCAAGATTCCATACGGTTACCGTGAGTCTGATGCGAGTTTCAGAGTCGAGCTGATTCTCACCTCGTGTCCATTCGCAGCCGCAAGGTGTGTAGCAGTGTTCCCCATATTGTCCATGTCATTTGGAGAGTACCCTTCCTGCAAGCATGCACGTATCATGTACGACGCAAAAAAAAAAGTAGCGCACAAACATCATGTCGCCTTCGGTAGCATGATTGCGGACAACACATATCCGAACCAATAATCCAATAATCGACTCTCATATCAAGCAACAGGGCGGCGACTCTAGGTAACACCCTCCACCCGGTGAAAATAGAAGCCAAACTGCTACTTCAATGGCTGTGTTCTTGTGTTGTACACAGTATGTACCACTGCGCACGTGTTTAGAACAGATCGTACGACGCTGGTGAGCCAACTGAAATAGTTAATGGTAGGCCGACGTCGATTGAAATATACACGAACCGTTTTGGGACCAAGCTGTTCCGCGGGCCGTTGCGTGCCTGCATGTTTCTGTTCAACTGAAAAGTATTTCATCGAGTTTTTTAGGGTGACATTGTAGCTCCCAGACGTTCATGTTGTGAGTGTCTTCGGGCCAATAGGTGGTCACCTGCTACCGTAGCATGTGTACGGCCTGCGTTCGATAAACCCCCTGTCCGGGTTGGTTTGGATGGTCTTACTTTCCGTCGTCGCCATGATCACAGTCGCGGGCATTCTCGCCGCAGCCACACGGCCGCAGTATAGGCCATTTCTTCAGAGAAGCGGTACTTCCTTGTCCATCCCGCGCTCTACCGCCATTCATCCGACCATAACCCATGTGTCATTAGAGAGCTTCATGACCATGCCGTGGAACAACGCAATTTGGGTTCAGCAATCGATCATACGCGCCATGAGTAGCAGTAGTCGAGCCGCGTTGCTATTTCGACAATCGAGAAGGCGTTTTGCATGGCTTCAGTCTAATTGGCCAGCAACAAACCTTGAGCAGTATCCAAGTGATTCCGAGATCTCCGCGGTAGGCCGACCAGTGGAGGGGTGTGTCCGATATTGGCAGGCTCGAGGAGGGACCTCGTCTGGCATTGACCTGCTTGTGTGCTTTCCGTCCCTGCATGCCAGGCGGGGCGTGCGCCGTGGTAAGGTCAATGAACGATGTTTTCACATAGAAACCTAGCGGAGGCATTTCGTTTCACGCACCTGATTCATTTTCGAATACCGTCTACTCTTGCTATTTCAGCCACGCGGAAATGACCTGCCTCAAGCAATAAACAATTCTCTAGTCGAAACCGCACACCATCGCGTTTTCGGACACTTTCGAGGGGAGACGTGTGGCACTACAAGTGCTTCCAGAAGTCGGGGATATGGGATTCATTGAAGCGATTGCCATGGTTGAGTAACTGATGCCACCACGATTGGCGGATTTGCGGATATAAAACGCAGACGTGTTGAGGCTCCAAATTTCACCCTGCGCGCTTTCATCGAAGCTCAGGTACTAAAAACCCTGGGTGGACCAACCGGGATTTGAGTCGTGCGTATAGCCTTGGCGCAGCCCCACCCCCCGCCCCGTATGTGGTCCAAACGCGATCCACTACAAGTGTGTTAGAGAAGGCCAAGGTATCACGTCCATTCCTGCAGCGCACACTTGACACCAACTGCCCCCCTTGCCGATTTTCCTGCCCTGTCTTTCGGATATGTGGCCTGCCCCCCTTGGCGAGCAAGCCCCAAGCCCCAACTCCCTTGTTAACAACGTCTTACTTTCAACGCCCATATTGGCGGATATGTATGTAAACGTTATTGTCCCTCTTCCGCAAAGATACCCCGAAATCAAATTCGCCGCAACACAGCATGGATATGCTTTATCCCCACACCACCTATTAGTCACCTGTGTGAGCACATTTGATGCCCGCCTGTATCCGCTGGTAGCACCCGCCCGTACTAGTGCTCGAGTGAGCATCGGGTTACCGTTGTAAACAGACCAGTGCAGACAGGACCAACCTGGGCGTACGGGAATTCCGATAAATGCTCAATAACGGCTTGAGAAACACATGTGGCAACTCAGAGGCAGACAAGAACGTTGCGCTATATTGGTCAAATGAGGTGTCATGAACACGTGATGGTACAGTACGGACCAGTGTCATTACTGCCTTCTTCTGTTCGGGATTTGCAATGATATGTCAGACCTCACCGATAGTAATATCAACAGCAGGTATCAGAGCAGTCTAAATAGGACACCAGGCACAGTATTTCTAGAGAAGATAGAGAAAGAGGGAGAGAGAAAGAGAGATGAAGGATCAGGAGAACCCTCAAAATAGCTCCTTGAACAGGCGTGTCAACAGTCGAGAATTCCAGTATCCAGTAAACACCGTACTGTAGTTCCAGCCCCTCACCGTACTTTCCGCCAAGTCGTGAGACACGAATCGAAACGAACCTACTGTACAACGCACCCGACTCCGGGTCAGAATACCCCGGTGGCACTCCGTCGGCAAGGAAGTCTTGCGCCCGTGCATCATTGTTCTCCTTGCATGCCGCCAGGAGATCAGGGGCGAGGATCTCGGGGTCTATCCCACCATTTAACTTGGGACCCTTGTTCTTCCCAGGGAGAAACTCGCTCTCATGTACCTCTTCCTGCAACACAATGCAACTTTGTTTTTCAGAGATCATGATTTGTTCGCACGATGTCGAGTGCGATGCATGCAAAGCATAGAGTGGAGATGGTGGAATCTACTTGCGAGGGTGTAATGTTTACATCTGTTCCCCGAGAAAATCCAACGTCAAAGGCGTTTAGACTATGCCTGCACAAAGTTGCTTGCTGGCTGGCCAGTAGGGCTGGTAGATCCCTGACGAAACTAGGTAAGAGTGCGTATACATACGCGACCAGAATATCTTGAACTTGGCTCTATTCGTTTGAAGGAAAGTATTTGCTCCGAGTACGGAAAATATTCAACGCGGTGATCACATGGACCAGTTTTGGCCGCGACCCACTTGATGTTTCGTTCTGCATGAGTAGAATGGAGCCCCCTATGGCGCTTGGTTGGGCATGCCAGGCAAGAGGCCCACCTATGAAGTATCAATAGTCTAGACGTTAGGTCGCTGAAAAAGAGCGCATGCAAGGCATGCATCTGCTTACGAAGGTGGGCACAACAGTAATACTTGTTTCTACGGTTAGCAAGCTATTGGCAAACTACAGACGTCTACACGTGTAGACTATACGTACATACTGAAAATCGGTTCCGCTGTGGGTGCAAAGCGTTGTGTTTGCGCTGTCGCTTCCCTCAACACACACTACAGCTAGTACTACCGACTCCTTGCCGCGAAGCAAATTGCCAACAGAACACTGCTCATTGGACCAACCTACTTACGCATTGGATACCCCCAACTTGGGAGCTTTCTCTGAATACCCACCTCTCCCAGGATCGCTGCAAGAGGATCTTCGTCCATCATTCAACCCAAACCCCTTTGCTCTTCCAAGTGACAGGGCGCGGTCAAATTGAGTGGTGGAGGGAGAGAGGTGCAGACAGAGATATAGATACACAGAGAGGACGCTAGCGGAGAAAACGAGCGAGGAAAACGGGGAGGGGGGGAGGGAGGGGGAGAAAGCGAGCGAAAAGAGAAACTCTACCTACTTCTAGCTTGTAGCAAAGCTCATGTAATTGCGGAGGAATAAGTGCCGGTTCGACCGGTTCGCCAAGCGTTTTGAGACCCCTCTACAACAGCAGTACATAACCAATAAGCCCGGTACACCCAGCCAGTTTCCCCCCACTCACTGTAAAGACTCCAACACATTCCCTTCGACTGTGGTTTTGTCTCGAACGGGTACTCTTTCTGTGTTTGGAGTATTTATTTTTCTGCATAACAAACGTCGATGTACAGTACTACGATTGACCCACCACCTGGCCGACAAATTAAGCGACGAAATCGTGATGATCTCAACCCCGACACTTCACATGCTTTCACATGCTCTCGCTATCGGCTTTCACTTTGACCGGCTTACGTACTCTCGTACTCTTCATTATGGGAAGAGGAGACTCTAATGCGTGTAACATCAACACAATTCACGTGCGGCGAGCGGTGTATCCGGTCTGACAGGAACAAAACGCCTAAACGCAAAATTGCGTTGCTGATGGGCCGAAACGTCAGAGCAAGTGAACGCACGTGCGGTCTCTTCATGTGAACAGAGAAATAGAGAGAGAGAGAGAGAGAGAGAGAGAGAGAGGGAGATAGAGAAAGAGAGATGCGGGAAGTCCAAACGGGAAGGGACGGCATACACACGGCAACTACAGAGGGTAGAAATACCCTACATTTCAACCACCACGTTTGAGGAACGAGAGGGACTTGACGAAAAACATGAGCGTTCAACCTGCTGTAGAGGTGCGGCCTGCTGGACAGGTGCGATAATTTCGGGTGTGCTGTCTTGCGGCGCTTTGGTGAAAAATGTCATGTGCTGGCGATGGGGGGTATCGGGAGTAAAAAGTTATGTACGGAGGCATGAAGTCGGGTCACACCGAAATCAAGCCAAAAGTTTTCCTCCACACACATGATTCCCATTTATTCACTGTAAACCATTCGTGTACGATCTTGCCGCATAGCGTTGTATCTCATTCTACTCCAGAGGCTGAGCCCACACGTCCACATGTTTATTTTAGTCAACCCAAGTGACCCGCACAATCATACTGTAGATTGGGTGCCAGCAGAATTCGTAGCACCGAAAGCGGCTTACAATGTACGAGGGCAAGCGATTGCCAATACAAGTAATGAAGGCCTGCAATGTTTCGTGAGGAACACCATACATCGGCCGGCTTGCATCGGTGGTGGGCAATAGAGGCCAAGACCCTGTTTCTATCCCACCCTATCTACTGGAATGAATGTACAACGTTTCAAGACCACCGTACACAACACAAGGCAACACACCATGGGGATAACATTTTTTTGTTTATGGCTTTCTTTCGAATTGCCTTGATTAATATGTATGTGGCCTACCGAGGGAGACTTCAATAGTAAAACCTGTCAGGTCGTCTGATGTCGTACATACGCTCATATTACCAGTACAGAACTGATACGGTATACACCCTGCAAGCAATTTGACCACGAAACGGGACGGCACAGCTCAGCCGTTGGGCTTCGTGCCGCTCCGCCCGCCTAGAAAAATCACAAAACTGAAGGTTTCAAAGAGTTTCTCCACCAAGAAGCACACCGGCGAGCGCTACCTCGGAGAGACCCAAGTCTGTCTTGCGGCGGTGGCATGCGGTACCGATTGGCGATGGCCAGCTGTGGTGCACTATGAAGCGCTAAGTGTCGTTTGTCTTGCCCTTCTTGATCGCCATGGGCCCCGCGCCGTGTGGTGATTTCATGGCGTTTGCTTCCCTCTATATCTTTGAAGTTAGCATGATGCCTGAGATGTCTCACTACACGGGGAAACAAGACGAAAAGCACGAGACAGAAAAAAAACAGAAAGAAAGCGACAGGGCTACGCAATCATGCAGCCCGGGTCTCCAAATCTCGTGGGCATTCGAACATAGCCGGGACAGGTTGCATGGGATCAGGCGACATTCAAGGCATGGTATCGTTTGTTTGTTTTGTTTGGGGGGGGGTTACGCGGCGCCACGTCGAATTCCTTCTGGCGGTTCAGCTTAGTACAGCATGTGGCTTCATCACAGGAAAGGAATAAAGTGGCTTGACCGCGGTTGTCTCTGTGGATATCGTCGAGCGTAACTTGTTTAGCGCGCATCCGATATTCATGAGCAAGCTGACCGGCAAGCACATGACAATGCCGACCCGAGGCATTTTAACCATAAATGTCCCCGCCCGCGTCATGGGTCCATTTGAAAGACGCGCTATGAATGGCGTCATTTCTCGAAGGTCCAAACAAGGAGAATTCCCGGTGTTGCTGC